CGGCCAGGATCGCGCTGATGGGGTATCTGGCCCCCCGGTGTACGGGTCCGGAGGATGGCGTGGTGCGGGTGGCAGGCCGGCGGCCCGCCTGTTCCGTACAGAGACTTTGAGGAGGCGGCGGAGGAGGATGACGCCGCGACTCCCTCCCTCAGTGTGCGTATCAGGCATCTGCCTGGACACGACGTCTTGCGCGGTCCGTCTCGTCCGGGTGGGGGGGCGGCCCCGGCGGGGCGGGGTGGGGCCGCCGGGGAGGAGGTGGGGTGCGTGTGTCGTGGGTGCGGGTGGTGGGGTCGGTGGGTGGGGGGGGGGGGTGGGGGGGGGGGGGGGGGGCGGGGGGGGGGGGGGGGGGGGGGGGGGGGGGGGGGGGGGGGGGGGGGGGGGGGGGGGATGAGACAGAGAAGAGTATTAATAAGAGATTTAGTCGTTGACCGCATGCACTTTCGTTGATGAGATATGCAGCTCTTCTCTTTGGCTCATCAAGTCGAAGTGTACCCGTAGATTCAGTAAAAGGTTAAAAAAAAAATTGATGTTGCTGCAGTCCTTCACTTCCAGTTGTCTCCAGACCTCCACTTTCCGTGCCAGGCGCACCACGAGCTACAACCGGCCCAGTACCAGGTATCCATCCGCACAATGGACCCTCTTCCTGCTTTCCTTATCAGCTGGAGGACAAGAAAAAAAAAAGGTGCTTAGGTCAACGAAAACCAATATCGCCGGCTGCAGATTGGCTCCTTCCGATTAGCGCGTCTGTCCGTCAATCAACCCGCGCCAGCCCGTCCATCTATCTACCTTACCTCAGATTGCTCTTGTCATTTCACCGACCGCCTCCCCATAACGTCGTAGTCAGCCCGCCCGCCTCTTTCTTCACCTAAGGTACTGCGGCGCATATCCCGCAGCGCAGCTCGAGTCTTGAGGTAGACTGACCTTTTTTGTCTCGTACGGAAATTCCCACCGCCGTTGAATTACTTTCTCTCTTTTCCCATCGCTACAACAAGCTACCGGGCCTCCTTCTCGCTTGGTGTGCTGCATCCCGCCGCCGCCGCCGTCCTCCGCCGTCCACTCTCCGCCTGTCTTCTTACCGGCTCGACATGCGCAGTCTTGACTCGAATCTCGGTCAGATCCCCAACATCCAGACCGGTCCCAGCTGAAGGCTGTCGCTTGTCAATCCGTACATACTTCGTGACCGTCACAGTCTCGATCTTCTTTGCCAGTCCTAGGCCCGCCCGCCACTCCGTTGCAGAGAACCCCCCTCGTCAACGTCTCTCCAGTCTAGAACCGACCCTTGCCTCTAGCGCCGCCCGAGTACGCTAGGATAAGGTAGAGGAGACAAGAGGTCCCCTTCTCCTACCGTCTGTGCCCACTGCTGAATGATGTGTGGAGCTGTCACTGTGCAAGTCGAGATAGCGTCGCGATAGCAGTGTGTTTCCAACACTTTTGTATGCCTCACCGACGCCCAGCCTTTCCCACCTCCACTCTCACCTCTTCCAACTCCTTTGCAAACGGCACGTTTCGCCAGCCCTGGTCGAGGGACCTGCGCTCATCTTGAAGCTTACAGAGCGTTTTGTCCTTCCTACTCTCCCCCCTCGTCTGGACTCGGCTTTGTAACCCGCCTCCGACGCACCCCCCGACCCGGCCGGCAGCCGCGCCTCCGGAAATACAATCCCAACCCTCTCGTCCCAATCTTCCCCGCCCCGTCCTTTCTCCGAAAAGCCGTCTGATACCTCCCGATCAAAGCGACATTGAATACAAACAATGCCGGCCCATTCACCGCCATCGCCCACCCTCAAGCCGACGAAGCGCCCGCGCCAAGGCTCCTACGATGGCGATGTATCCCCGCCCCCCTCCGCTGGCATCGACCAGAGCCCGTCCGCAGCCGAGCAAAACGATCCAATGGCCAATGCCGGCGCGACCCTGGCTTCCGCCGACAAGAATGGAGGAGGCGGAGGCGGCGGAGGAGGAAAGGCAGGCCAGAGCAGCAACTTCCGCAACGTGAGCGCCTGTAACCGCTGCCGCCTACGGAAGAACAGATGCGATCAGAAACTGCCCAGTTGTGCGAGCTGCGCAAAGGCTGGCGTCGCGTGCGTGGGCTACGACCCCATCACCAAGAAAGAGATTCCGAGAAGGTATGAACCACTTCACCGTGTAACTTACCCATGCCTGGGACTGCTTGGTGCGCGCGCGCATTCATATTTGCGCAATCAGCGTCGCCCTGATATCGAGCAAATGCTAATGTTGTGAGTCGTACAGCTACGTCTTCTACTTAGAAACCCGCATCGAGCAGCTAGAAGCTCTGCTCGCCAACCATAACATACCATTTCCACCTGCTGAGAACCTGGAGCTCTGCTCACGCCCTGGTGCGGAGATCGCAAGGTCAACGACTGATGCTGCCCCCTCGGCGCGCTCCGAGAGTATTGACGGGCCCGGGCCAGCCAAAAACAGCGTGCACCGCCCCGACTTGGAAAAGGCCAAAAAGGCAGAGAGCGGTGGCACGGGGATGCTTGATATCGTCAGCCCATCCAAACCGCGGTCACTGGCATCAGCCTCGGGGGTCTCCTTCAATCGCGTGGTCTTCGCCGCTGTGCAATACTCCGTGTCGGATCACAACGGGACGCAGGATCGAATCGGGGGCAAGGGCCTACCGATCGGCAGCGGCACATCGATGCGCGACTCCTTCTTCGGTTTGCACACGAAGCCCACGATCCGGCCGGCAAACTTCCCTGACAAAGACGTGGGGATGAGGCTTGTGACTCTCTATTTTGAGCATGCGAATCCCCAAATCCCCATTCTGCACCGAGGGGAGTTTATGCACATGTTCGACCAGGCGTACGCTGAACCGAGTGGGCCAAAGGGACCCCGAGAGCTGTACATGCTGAACATGGTCTTTGCGATTGGATGCGGTGTAATTGTGGGCGAGCCGGTGAAGTCTGAGGGCTCAGGCGCTGGGCCGCGGAACCCAGCGGATGCGAATAAGTTTGGCCAGGCACAGCCGGAGGAGTACCACGCGAGCGCCATCGTGCATCTCGAGGCTTGCCTTGGTAATAGCGGCGGTGGCTTGGAAGTGTTGCAAGCTGTGCTGCTGTTGGCCAACTTTGCACTCCTGCGACCCGTTCCACCTGGCCTGTGGTGAGTTATACCCCTGAACAGCTGAGCACACTGTGAGGCATGATTTTGACGAGTTACCAGGTACATCATTGGCGTTGCTGTGCGGTTAGCCGTAGATCTAGGCTTGCATTATGAAGATGGGAGCGACGTGGAACCGGCAATGCGAGATCTAGTAAAGGACGAGAACGGCGAAGTGAACGAAGCGAGAAACGCCCAGTCACGCGAGAGGGGTCGACGGCTGTACATCCGCGACATGAGGCGGAGGCTTTGGTGGTGCACCTACTCCCTGGATCGTCTGGTGAGCACTTGTGTCGGACGACCATTCGGAATCAGCGACCAGGTCATTACGACCGAGTTCCCCTCGCTGTTGGACGATCAGTACATCGCGTCGACGGGATTCTTGGAGAGGCCTGCCGACTCGTCCGAGCCGAGCTACAAGCATGTAGCCTATCACTACTTCAAGCTGCGGCTGCTGCAGTCCGAGATCCTGCAAGTGCTGCAGTATAACCAGACGCAGGTCGTGCGGGCCTCGGGCCAGAACCTGACCAACTCGGACATGCACACCCACCTGCCGTCGCCGTTCCTCGTCAAGTTCGACTCGTTCCGCTCCTGGCGCATCGATATTGACCGCAGGCTATACCAGTGGAAGAACTCGGCGCCGACGCGGGAAGAGACGGGCGTGGCTTTTTCGACCGAGTTCTTGGAACTCAACTACTGGCAGGCCATCATCATGCTCTACCGCCAGAGTCTGAGCGTGCCCGCCATGTTCGAGGGCGAGTACAACACTTCTAATGAGGTGAACAGCCCAACGGCGTTTCAGGCGGAGCTGCGGGAAGATGAGGACAGGATCTATCTCAAGGTCGCCGAGGCCGGGCAAAAGATCCTGCGCATCTACCGCCAACTGCACCTGAGCGGGCTGGTCAGCTATACTTATTTGTCGACTCATCATCTGTTCATGGCCGGCATATCCTACCTCTACGCCATCTGGCACTCGCCCATTGTCAGAAGCCGATTGGTATGTCACCCCTTTTGGTTTCGAATCAACAGAAGCAGCTCTAATGTGCAATGACATAGACAATGGATGAAGTGGACTTCACCATTCTGGCCGCCAAGTCCGTCTTCACCGACCTGATCGACAAGTGCCCGCCAGCCGAGACCTGCTGCGACGCCTTTGATCGCACCGCAAAGGCCACCATCAAGATGGCCAATTCGACCGGCGGCTTCAACTCGGTGCCGCCGCGCAAGATGCGCGAGAGACAGTTCGAGTGGAGCTCCGCCTCCGGCGACGGGGCGTCGACATCGACAGCTAGCGTCGCGCCGCGCCGCCGTCACCAGCAACACCAGTCGTCGTCGCAGGGCAACTTCCAGATGGACCTGGCGCTGTCCGACACCCTCTCCTCGCCGAGCCTCTCCGTCGCCGGCGACCTCCCACCGCGCCATTCCCCGCGCGCAACGGACTTCAGCAACATGATGGCACCTAGCCAGGGTAGCCCCTCGGAAATCGACCCTTCTTTTGTGGCCTCGCCACCGGTGCCACGTCAGGTGGCGGCACAGCGGACCAGCAGCGGCGGTTCTTTCTTAAACCAACAGCAGCAGCAAGGGTCGTCATCGTACAGCGTGGATTACCCAGACATACAGACCATGGACTTCTTCCAGAGTCTACAGGGCGGCAACCCCAACGGCGAGCTCGGCGGGTCCGGGGACGTGACGACGCCGCAGCTCGATCTGGGTTTCGGCCTCTATTGGGACAACATGCACCACGACTTTAGCGACGGCCAGCAGCTGGCCATTTTCGACGGCTTCTTCTTTGGAGGGCAGCAGCAGTCGCAGGCGCAGCAGCAGCAACAGCTACAGCAACAATCCCCGGATCAGCAGCAGCAGCAGCAGCAGGGTCTGAACGGGAACGCCAACGGGCGAAGTGGGATATGAAAAATAAAAATGAAAGAAAAAACAAGAAGGGCCAAAAAAGGAGAGGAAGAAGAAAAAGGAAAAGGCACGACGCCGGCGGCTTCTTGGACAGAGATTATTCAAGATGACGCCTCCGTGCTACAGCATTACTAGCCCTTATGATGATACCAACACAAAACGAACGGCTGGGAAACGCCAAAATGGAAGGGCTGGCGTGTGTGTGTATAGGTCACGACGCCGGCGGCCTCTGGGAGATATCTCAGTTGACGCCTCCGTGTCAGACACACCGTGCGCTCTCTCTGACAGACATAGAGAGAGCGAGAGAGATGCCAGGCTTCATGACCAAAGTATATTATTATTATGTGACGACCACGCCCGTACAAAGGATACGGACACAGCCCCAAAAATGGATCAGAAAAAGCAGGGATGGCAGGCAAGACTTTTTTTCCTCATTGACGAACCGGATTGGCAAAAGAAGGAGGGACAGGGCAGGACAGTTTTTTTTTTCTTTCTTAATATGGCAAAACACACACATGCACACCAAAAGGAAACCTCGGTGAGGACAGATGTATATGGCGAGGATGTCTTGGTGAATATACAGCGTGGACGGCGAGAATGAGGTTGTGTAGGGGGGCTTAGGGGGTGGGGAGAGGCTGGTTTCCGTGGGCGCAAGGAAAAATCTGTTGCTTGCAGTCTGAATTTGGTATACCCCGAAAAGCGAGTGAGAAGAGAGGCAAGGGCAAGGAAGGGAAAGGGTAGATACGGGGGAGGGGAGAGTGTACCTAGAGAGAGGGAGAGAGAGAAGACGGTGAGCCAGCGAGACTTGCCGGTTCCTTTTTTACATGCTTCGTTTCCTTGTTGGAATGGATGAGGAAACGGATTCTTTTCACCCCCTTTATTTTCCATGTTGATTTGCATGTCGATCGTGTCGTGATGTATATGATGAGCAAGTAATTGCTCTAGCTTGCGTCCCCTAGACACTCTAGCTCGCGACTCGTTGATGTCTTGACCAATGATGTTCACATTGACGGCGCATATCTTCCAATGCTATCTGTCCGCGCGATTGCTACCTACTTCACTAGTGATGAGATAGGTACCCAGCCCACAGTGTTCTATCGAGCTTTTCCTTGGTATCCAGCTACGTACGTATAAGGAAGGTACCCAGTTGCCGCCTTGCTGGCATGTCACACGCCGTTCAATCAATACGTGATTCATTCAACAATAGACAAAACAGCAGGTTGACGCCCGGCATCCCTTCTTTCCCTATGGAAGCGGGCTTCCAAATGGAAGGAATAGGGACACGCCGGCATCACATGTACTAAAAAAGGTGCGTGTTCCGCAACACTCCCATCAGACCTGCCTTGGTACCCGACTGGTCTGGTGCTTGAACTGGCCGCCGTATCAGCGTCCGTCAGGGGCCACGAGTTCGCAGCCCTCTTTTTTTGGTCCTCTTGGTGTTTTTCCAGTCTCAATATATGTTTTGACCTCGTATCTACGGTAAACATGATCAAACCAAACGTCGTGCTCCACAATTCATAGTTCACTGTCCTACGTAGTTGCTAAACATGCCTCAATTCCCTTGTCAACGGCCTTTTGCGACCGGTACAGGCCCAATACCATGCCGGTGAAATATCCATACTTTGAACAAGAGGCCTCTTTTCACTCAATGTCCACACAGCGAAGGTCCATAACTCATCACACGCTCGGATTACTTCGAATTTCTTGCAGTGACAGTTTCATTAACAGGTCGCGAGTCTTGGCGTCCTACTCCCGCTTGTTCTCCTGCCCGTTACCATTACTGTTGGGGCCAGCCATCTGGCCAAAAAGCAAGGTGAGGGGGTATCCAAAGAAGGCGCCGACGACACACAGCAGCGTTGCGAAGAGGGTCCAGACATGCCAGGCCCAGTAGCCGAAGAAGGGGGCAATAAACTTGAGCCACTCGCCGACCTGGTAGTGGTCCTCTTGGCTGACGATGAACTGGCGCTGACGGGTACCGACGGAGGCGGCGTCGCCGTATCCGCGTGGCAGCGGGTTGCCGTTGGCGTCGATTGTGCGGGTCTCTAAGCGGAGGACGACGACGAAGTCGACGGGTGCCGAGTAGAAGGGGACAAACCACAAGCGGAAGTCTTGGCGCATCTTGACATAGAGTAGGTTGGTCTTCTGGTCTTGGACTACCAAGGGGGTTAGCATTTCTTTCTGTAGTGTACTGAAGTTCTCAATAGTGCTTCTGAAAAGACGCTCTCTCCGATGAAGACCGCCGGTTAGGCCAACGAAAGGCACGTACCGGAAGATTCAATCTCCATTTCAATGTTGGGGCTCAAGATCCGGTACCAGCGGTAGATCATGAGGACAAACCAGCGCGAGTTGATGGTGAAGAGGAACGGGATCTGGACGTTGCCAAAGGATGGCACATGGCAAAAGGGGTGGGTGAAGGAGGCGTCCTCGGTGAAGTTGGAGTAGAGGGCACTCTGCTGCTTCTCGGGTGATCCCTGGACCAGGTCCCGGATGACGGTCTTAATCTCCTTGACTAGACCGGGCGTTGTCAGTAAGAACACTCTAGTTCGTCTAGATGATGCATTTGGGGGGTAAGGAAGCGGCTCAGCGACTAAAGATTCACCATCCCCAGCTCTGGGTTGCAGGCGTGACTGATGGCGTCTCTTGGCGGCCATGATCTACAGCCGGGGTTCGTGCAGGTGGTAGCAGTAAGTGCTGTCCCGTATGGGTGACGTCTGCGTACCTGGGTGATCCATCTTGCGCTCGTGTCAGCGTCGAGTCGGTGAGGTCTTTCTGTCTGCCGCGGGGCTGTATGTCGCAGCGTAGACTTGGGCTTATGAACGAGGATTTGACGATTGCGTTCACTGGAGCCGGGTCGAGGCAAGTCGTGATGTTTTGCAGAGGAGTTGTTATCCACAAAGATGCAAGATTGACGTCGAATTGGGAAAGACAAACGTCACAAGAGCACGGAAACAAGAAAGGGAGGAAGGCGAAAGGTTAAAAGGGGAGGAGGCCCCGAGCTAGTAGGAGCTATCAGTCGGGTGCGGGAAGGAGTGGGAGCTATGGTGTCTCACAAGCCAAAATAAAAAATAGCTCTCAGAGAGTCAGATAGTCTACTAGCGTCGAAAATGGCAGACTCGGAATGGAATGGAGTGCAAGTGGACGTCCTCCTGCCAATTGCTGGATTGGGAACGTGCCTGTGACCGTGCCTGTTTGTCTGATTTGTCTCGTCAATGGATGTGCAAGTAGTGTGTCTGTTCTGGGATGGATGCTTTCTCGCCGCGCCCTTCCCCACGACCGGGAAGCCGAAGCTCGCAGGTGATGTCATTCTGAAACTATTTGGAGCATGGCGTACCCTCCCAGGCAGTCCGGGGAAAGCATGTGAAATGCAGCTCCTGCTGCCGTCATTGGCCAATCCCATCGAGCACCTGCCAGTGCATAGCTACCTCATCTAGGTTGACCTGACGGGGAAGAACACGCCTGGGTACATCCATCCCGCTTCTGCAAGGAGCATCGTCGATTTCGTTCCTCACACAGAATAGCTGCTACGCATGCCAAAGAGTGACCTTGTCCCGACTGCAAGTGGCCAGCAGTACACAGGCGCGAAAATGCCCTCTTGAGTAGACTGGCGCGATCTTGGTCTGCGTTGTCCGCGATGGCCTTGATATATTGGAGCAATGTAACGAAGTGTGAAAAAACTAGTCAAGATTATATCCGCGCTTTGGTATCGATCACTGTCTCAACTGTTGAATTGCGCTCGATTCCCCCAAATGCTCGACCGTAACAGCCCTTGGTTTGCCAATATTCATTCAAATGTCTCTTCACGCGCGCACCGGCTACCGAGGCAGCGCTACAGCGCTCCGGGCAATGCACACCCATGGGCTTGATAAACGATCATGGGATCACCAAACCTACCGTATTCGGGAAACACCAAGACGAACCACATCCAAAGGTATGGAATACGGGCTTTCGTATCGAAACCGAACACGTCTTCGACCCCATCCAGCTCTCGCATCCAGAGTCATCACCCCACACCCCATCTTCCATCTGCTACTCCCCAATCTTTTCCTTCCCGCTCCGATCGATTTCTCCAATACCCATGTCTGTGTTTGACGCGCACCACCCTAGTATATCCGTCTGTCCCAACAAAACAAGTCGTACAACATCGCTCATCGCTCACGTGAACAGGCCGCACTTACGGCTCCGCATTAGATCTATTACAGAATATTTCCCAACAACAACCAGTCGCTAGGAAGAAAAACAACGCGATCTGGACGTAGAGACGCCAACTTCAGTAGTCCCGGCTCCGACGCCGGCTCTCCCCCCGGTGGCTGTGCCGCCGCGAGCTACTGTGGCGGCGCCTCCTCCTCTCCGGCGAATGCTCCTCAATCACCACCACCTCGTCCTCTTCATCGTCCGTCACAACCCTCGGCGGTGGTACCCTACTGTGTCTCCGCTCTTGCATTGGCGGGGGCGCCGCTTCAATAATGACGGGACCTGGCGGCCTACTCACGCTCTCTCTGACCCGCACCTGCTCCGTTGCAATCACTCTCGCCCGCGGGCTGCGATGTTTGCGGTGGTGATGTCGGCTCTTGGAACGCCGCACCGAGACGGCTGAGGCGGTGCCAGTGTACACCGATGAGGACGAGGTTTCGACCGGCCGGCCGAAGTTGAGACAGGTGTAAACCATCCAAAGGACGAGCAGGAAACCGGCGACGGCACCGAGAGTGACACCCACTATCGCGCCGGCGGAGAGGCTCGAGAAGCCGCCGTACGTGGCAGGAACCACGACGACACCGTCCGTGGTTTGGCGACGAGCGACGGGCATCGTGTGCCTACCTCGGTCGGAAACTAGGTAGATCGTGATGAGGTAGGGCGGCGGCGCGACGGTTAGACTCGCGTAGTCGTAGGGCAATCGCCTGCAGGAGCGCAATGATGATCGGTCGGTCGGTTGGGTCGGTCGGTTGGGTCGGTCGGTTGGGTCGGTCGGTTGGGTCGGTCGTAGGGCTGCACGGCTGGTAAGAATGTCGCAGGCGTTGTCGGATGGTGCGGCCAAGCGGCGATGGGGTGCAATCCACGCAGAGACGTGGAAACGAAGGATCAGGCTAGCACCAGAGGTCGTGCCGAACAGCGCGCGCGTCGGCGTCTTGGTTGGACGGCTTGGGCTCCGACGTTGCAGCGTCGCAAGGCTTGAGACAGATTCCGAGCGCTTGGCGGGGGCGTCGAGTCGATGACGGCGGCGACAATGGCGCTCGATATCTCGTATCAGCACAGCTCGAAATGGCGGGATGATGAATGGCAATTCCAATGTCTGGTGCGATGGATCAGTCCCATCTGGGAAGAATGCGGGAGGAGGTTCCTTAGTCACCTCAGGCTGAGAGAAAGGGTGGGAGACGAGAGAGATGGAAGAGAATGGATGGATGGAAGGCACGGAGGGACGGGACGGGTGAGACTGAAGGGCGGGCATGCAGAGTGTGATTGGAGCGCTGCGCCTTTAGTTGCATCTGCGCGACACCACCCACCTAGGCAGGTATCTTCGATGTACAGAAGCTAACACTCGCGCCTGCACTTGTGCCTGTCATGCCCGCCGTGCCTGCCTGGCGCACATCATCGCGGGAAACACGGATTCTGGCGTGGGCAGCGCAGCACAGAGAGCGCCTTCCCTAACTGGGCAAAAAAACGGCACTGCTAGCGCCCCCATTGGACTATGGGAGACCCCCGTTTAGCCCACCAAAGTCCGGGCCGCGGCAAGGAGGTCGAGCTCTGCGTTGCTGCACAGCAACCACTGACAGCGACCCAGAACTTCCCCGCTTGTCTGTCTTGGGGACCCTCGTTGGGAGGAACTGTTTCGTTTGACTCGTTTGACACGCAGCGTTTCCCTTGTCAATTTGAACTTCAGTCTGAGCGTCCCGTTGACATTAGCGACAAAAGGAACGATTGCACGCCAAATATGTCTAGAAATGGCCTAGCTAGGATTTAATTAGGATCGCAAAAGTCTGAGGACCGCTCTGTCAAAACTATCGTCATTGCCAGGCTGGCCAGGGTAAATATGTGCGAGAAATACCGTTGAAAAGCGCGTTTGGCAGCAAGAAGCTCATCAGATTCCAACCAAGGAATCCCCCAACCTTATCTCAATCGTAAGAGCGGCCACGGCTTGCCCGACTTCTAAGCAGGCACCGTAAGAACAAAAAGCTCGCCGGTAGAGTCGCTAAGCATGAACAATCTGCCTTTCTTGTCCCACGCAAGACCAACAGGTCGGAAGCAGCTTCCAGGGCAAACAGCGTTGTTGACGTTCCATGCAACCCTGACCTCGGCTGTCTTGCTGGTCGACGCGGCAATAGGCTGTCCATTGGCACCGAAGTCGACCCTGCTAAGGCGATAGCCGTCGCCGGGAGAGCGGTTCCTATCAAGAGCGTCAGCTTTTGTTGGACTATTTCCACGCTTCGGAAGCACTCACCAGCTGCCATGGAAGGAAATGTATGCGGATGATCCATTGGGGGAAAACTTAATGTCCAGGGGCGCCATGTGAGCCTGAAAAGTGAGCCGCGGTGGGACAGGAACAGTCTGGCAGTATTGGTCTGTGACGTTGCCAGACGCATTTCCCTGAATGACCTGGCTTCCCACTTTCACATTAGGTACACCCGTGACAGTACTCGTCTCCCAGACGGCAAAGCAGTTGGGATAGCCATAATTGGCACCCTTGTGGGGGTTCGACGCCGCTCTATAGCTGCCATGGTAGTTCAGTTCCTCGCCAGGGTTGTCATTGTGAATGTCCACGCCGTTGCGCGCCATGTTATCGAGAGAGTTCTCGACCGACCACTGACGTAACGTGAGCTTACGGAAGTCTCGGCGAGTGCGCGGTAGACACTTACAATACCGCCATCTAAGGGATTCTCTCCAACACCGACGGTGTTTCGCAGTCCCCATCCAAAGAGCTCTCCCGAGGTGTAGTCCACGGGGCTGCCCGTCAGTTTTGTCAGATCAAAGGCACGAATTTGACTGCGGCCGGACGAAGCCTCAGCAGTCGGAAGGTCAAGGTTCGGAGCGGAGCCGCGGGAAACGAGCAGGACATTCGGCTTGTCCTTGGGAATCAGCAAAGTGCGGGTCTGGTGGCCAGTTTGCGTCATGCCATTGATGATGAGCTTTGCCTGCCCAACAGTGCCAGCAGCAGCGTCGTAAGGGTATGCGTATACTTCGGAAGCCGTCGCCGCATAAATGGTTTTGCCATTGGCGGACAGAGCCAATCCGTGAGCGAGCTAGCCAAAGTTCAGTGATGATGCTGAAAGAAAGACACAGTCAGGATGGTATAGCCACTTACGTTTGCATTGGCGATGAGCTGTTTCTGAGAAGCCACGCAAACGTTCGTCCCTCCATTGTCTGTGAGCTTGACATACTTGATACCCGTGCCCCCTTGCTCGGCGATGAGCAGGTTACCGAGTGTGTCAAATTGTAGACTGCGGGGTTTTTGCAGCTGGTTCAGGATGAGCTTCGCGGAGTACCCCGGGGCTATCTGGGGCTGGGCGACGGGAGTGAGGCTCGCGCACTGAGCTGCAACTGTCGAGAACAGAGCTGCGCCCGCGGCTGCAACCGCGGCGAGGGAATTTATCGGCACCATCTTTCCTGTTGGTGCTAAGGGCAACTGGGCGTTTCTCCACGTCGCTATGTACTGCTGTGCCTGGATGCTTGTCTGAGGACAACGTAACAGAGTCTGAGGTTGATGGTATGGGAGTAAGCGGAAGGGCAGCTCCGAAACTTCGACACCAAAGATTGGATACCAGAGTATTGATGGCCAGAGGAGAGAGAGCAAATAAGCGAAGCCAGGACTAAGGAAGAGGAACAGATGTCCTTCCCGCTCTTTAAGATTGGGGCAAGAGGCAAGGACCAGCTTCTATACATAATATTCAAACAGGTAGGGGCAGCGCGGAAACGTTTTCCATCAGAACTTGCCTGCCCTTCAGATCGTTACTACCAAACTGGATCATGACACTCCTCTCCTCCCTGGCAGGCCGGGAGCGGGGAATGACGACCTGTAGATCTTGGCCATTCTCCTCCTCCCTATATTCCACGGCAAGTTTTCAAGAAAAGTGCCGGCAGGCGTCTTGTGTATAGGAGCACCCTGCCACTGCCTAGCAAGCAGATCACCCACTTGGACCATCTATCCCATGCACGCAACCGAATACCGAGGGTGATGATAATCGAGGACCTGCTTTGTTCTGTGCCCTGTCGCTTGCTGCTGTGTTCCGCAGCTGGACTCCCCTTTTCGGTGCCGCCAAGCCATATCACGTCGTATGCGATGCAACGAATTGCCGGCGGGTGACTTCCCATCAGAGCAGGTCCCAAGAAACGGAACCGCAGACCAGCGTCATGATTAAGGAAGGTAACCTAGAAACTTTTTTACCAAGAACTGTACCATGTTAGTTTGGGGGCAATCAACGCAGCGTCATGTAAAGGGAGGTATGAAGTTTCCACATTATACAGGTATGACGAGAAACAAGGTCTCAGAAAGTGGAATCGGCAGCCATGCCGCTAGAAGTGCAACCTGCTGATGCTGATCAAGCTTGGCGGGCTGCGGGTTAGAGGGAATGTGGAAAAGGGCGCGCGCGGTCATTAACACGATTATTTATCATTTCGACTTGGGAATGAATAAAGTCAAAAAGGGGGAAAGTGGCCCATGGCGGGAGGGCTCCATTATGTGGACTTGAACAATAGCCGTTGCAATAAGGTTGTCATCCGCGGACGGGTCCCCGGAGTTTACGGGAGCCTGTACGGACCTGTAAGCGGAATAGGTGACGTGACGGATGATCCCGGGAGCTTGAACGGGGGGGGGGGCTGAAATGTGTGCAAGCCTGCGAGATGTGATTCGAATCTCTATGCGGGGGGGGAGGGGAAATCTCCTTCAATGAGACGAACTTGGGAAGCATCCAACGTTGCGCCTAGATCTTGGCGACGTTCTTTTGCATCCCGCTGATTGGACGGAGATATTGCTGCGGAACTGATTAAGCGATTAGAAACCGTTCTTGTTAGATTGAAAGCCCACGGGCAATATGGCGTCTTTGCACGTTCACCTGTTTACGTAGGAGGGAGGGAAAGCAAAAATTGACCGCAATTACTGGAGCAATCTGACAATCAGGGAAGGGGATTCGTAGAGAAACATGCGAAACTAAAAAAAACCTCACAGAATACTGAAAACCAATGCTCCCTCCTTTTCTTCTTTCTCTACTATGGGGATGATTGATCAAGGCAAAACCGGGCGCGGACTTTTGATCGGTCGGTGGCCGGCGGAGGTGGGTGTAAGCCGGCGGACCCACCGCTCCGTTCCTGACACCGGCTGACATCAGAAAGTCGCTCAAGTCCGATGGGGAAAGTCGTCGACAGCACTCGAATCGAGATTTGTCTAACGCGAAAGGTCCAATTCTGTTTCTCGACCAAACGATACGAGAAAAGATGCGCTGCCCTCGATGAACGTCGTCGAGGTGGCGTCTTCTTTTGTTTTGAATCCCTCCGACGGGCCCGTCCCCACCCGGCACCCCATCCACGGCACCAAAAGCCCCATTCGATCGGACGGAAGGATGACCTAAAACCTGCCTAGAAGTGGGCGGTTCATCTCAACAATCATCGCCCCGTCCCGAACCTGAACCTCCCACGTTCGTATTTCGTATTTCGTCGTTCGTCCTCATCCCCAACATGCCAGATCATCAACGCCAAACGAGCCTCGCTTAGCACAACAGAACCACCCTCGAGATAGAGCTCCAACCAACCCACCACTGTCTACTCAACAAACAACTTCTTCATTTTGAACGTTGCACTTGGGGAGGAGGAGGAAATGACGTCTGGCCATCCCTGATCTATTGCTGCCTGCTGCCTGCCGGTCTCTCTGTCTACTTAACTCGCTCGCTTAATCGCCTAGTCGCCAGCCTCATCTTACTCTCAAAAAGTCTCAGCTGAACCGAGGTCTGCATGCCCGAATGTAAGACGCCCGCCGCCACACCAAAGGGCACGCGGTGAAGATGTCGGTAGTTATGATGCAGGTCCGGTTCACGACGGGGACCCTCTTGGCATATCGTGAATGTCTCACACCAAACACATCAGAGAGGTCTCCACGAACATTATCTAGCCATACTTTGACTTTTACAACGCCCCTTTGGTGCGGGGTAAATCGTCGTCTGTCATTCAGATACTGAATTGCCCGGGGGAATGAGACGACGCCATCCCACCTCACGAGTGTACAGAGTCACCTGACAACGTGGGAATCTGGCGTTCGTTCCCAGTCGCGCAGAGGCGTTCGTTTGTGGCTTGGCCCCAGAACCAAAAAGCAGTTCGCTGGGTCATACACCCTTGCCTCGTAAATGTAGCTAGCGGTCTCCTTGGGCGTTCACGGACGATACTTGTAGAAACCCCGTGTGTTGCACCATGACATGCCGTCAGCACCGTTCACAGCCCGAGTCATGTCGGTGACTCGGATTATAAGACAGATAGATGCACGGATAAGCGACAGACATCGCCGTCGGCCGGCAGCTTCGTCCGAGATACTCGTGTCTGTAACTTTCAATGTCCGCGTAGAAACTTATCCCAGTGCCGAGTTGCGGGAAAGTTCCACAACGAATCAATCCACCCTACGGAGTACTTGTCTCAACAAATTGTGGCGCACACTAATTGCTAGGGAGAGTTCCCTCAGCTCCTGGCTCGTCTCGATAAGGTATGAAGCTTCTCGATCGAGTCTATAAAGAACCGTGCAAAGAGCCTTTTCAAATTCTAATCTCATGCCTTCGTCTCTACATCCTCGTACACCTCATTAAGCATTGACCGAAACCCTTTTTCTCCCATCACCATCTACCAACATGACTACCACCGAAGAGCCTAAGCGGACCTACCGCGGCAACTGCCACTGCAAGGCCTTCGTCTACGAGGTCGAACTTCCAGAGATCAAGTCCGCCAGCGCGTGCAACTGCAGCATCTGCTCCAAGAAGGGGACCCTATGGGTCCAACCCAAACGTGACGACTTGCGCTTCGTCAAGGGCGCCGAGGCTGACCTCTCGACGTACAACTTTGGTCCAGGCCAGATAACCCACAAGGTGAGCCGGGACAAAGAACGCGTGCAAACAAAGATCCCCTCCACCCAGTTGACCAACCAATTGTTGTCTGTGGTGTCTGTAATGCTGACGACTTTCGATGGCCAAAAGTTCTGTGGAAACTGTGCTACGCCCATCATGGCGGATTCCCCCAAGGGAATAGTCCTGAATGTGAGTTTTTGCATCCTTTCTGTCTCAAGATCTGTCCGAGAGGAACCTAGAGCTGACATACATGCAGGTGCGCTCGATCCAAGACCTCGATATTTTCGGAATGGAGAAGACGACGTATGCAGCCACCAACCCCCCTCCCCAAAATTCCAAGAAAAAAGACTGACCGGACTTTGCAGTTACGACGGTCTGTCTTACGGCGCCAAGTACGAATCTCACGCCCACAAGGGCCCCGAGCCGACGGCCAAGGTCGAAGTGGGGAAGCTCTACACCGGCAGCTGCCACTGTGGCGCTCTGACGGTAGCCGTCGTCAGCAAGCCCATCGACGAGACGTACGAAGACAGAATCATCGAGTGCAACTGCAGCATCTGCGAAAGAGTCAGCCAAGGCCCTATTGCCGCCCGCCTCGGGGGGGAGAAACTTTTGCTAACTTTTTTTTTTTTTTGTGGTGGATAGAATGGATACGTCTGGGTGTATCCCAACGCCGACCAAGTCGTACTGACCGGAGACGACGACAAGATTGGTCGGTACATCTTTGGCCACCACATTCTCGCAAAGACGTTTTGCAAGACCTGCGGCGTTTCCATCACCAACCAGTCCAATACGCTGACCGACGAAGAGCAGAGTGCTCTGGTGGAACGGGCGCAGTTTTGGTACAAGTGGTCAAAGACGTTGCATCCCGTCAACGTGCGGGTTCTCGATGGAGTGGATCTGAAGAGCCTGAAGGTTCTCCAGGTCGATGGCAAGACTGAGCATCAGCCGGGATACGTGAACCCCTAAACCGGCTGCGGCGGGTACTGATATCTGGGTGTGGCGTTCAGTACGGTGGAACAATTCCAGGCGCTGAAAAAAGAAAAAAGAAAATCAAGTGTTGAGTTTTCGATTCGTATGAGTCCATATAGGAATGCCATCGTCGTCAAACCGGGCCCATTGGAAAAAGGAGCAACTGTCCTTGCCGGGCACATTGCCCCCGTGACACATCCAAAAGTACCTCCCATGGTTCTCCTTCTTCCTCTGCACGACCCTCAACACGCACGGAATCCCGCAATCGCACTTGGGCGTGTGGCGCGGGTGCATGTCAGCCCTGTAATCGCGGTAGGTGATGTTGATGCGCTTGTTGCCGGCGACGGGGTGCGGGTCGATGGCCTGCGCCGGCGCGATGCTGTGCTTCCACTCCTCCTGCATCTCGGCGTGCATCACGAGGAGGGAGTTGTGCGGGAGGTGGATCGATATCTGGCCCTCTGCATCGGCGTCCTCGGCCGCCGCCGTCGTCGCATTGGTTCCGTTCTCGCCACCGCCGCCGTCCTTGGGGATGATCCGCCGCACGCGGAACTCGCGCGCGACGCCCAACGACACCGATCCGATGACGGCGCGGGGGCCGAGATAGGTCAGCTGGTCGCTGTGCCACCCGACGTTCTCCTGCGGCCCGTCGTAGCAGTTGACAAAGGCCATGTTGGGAGCCCACGGCTTCGGAGATTGGTACCGCAGCTTCTTGCCCCCGGGGTAGCGCGTCGCCATCCTTGTCTGGATCTCTTGGTTCACAGCCTCTGCGACCTTGGGCTTGACCTTGACGAGCTGCGGCGTGATGCGGCGGATGTCACTCAGCTTGGCGCCGTTGTAGAGATAGTCCGTCTTCTGCGTTTGTATCTCGTCGTAGCTCTCGACGTAGAAGCTCGATGTATGCGGGCTGGCCACGACATTGTCGAATAGTTTAAACGTAACGTTCTTCTCAAAAGACTTTGCTTCCGTCATAAGTTCTCGCAAGAGGTCGTTGGCTTCCTCTGGCGGGAGGAAGTTGTGAACGACGGTGCATGGCGTGTGTTCGGCAATGTCCACCGGATCGTACAGGTGCAGCGTGGCCCCCTTCTTGGACATGAGTTTCTTCTTCGGTTGCGTGGCAGGACCGTTGCCGCTGTCTTCAGACTTCACGGCAAAGTGCCGAAGGGAACTCTGGGCACCAGTAACCCCATTCGACTTTTTGGCCGGGATTGGCGCCTCGAGTGCCTCAAGCGATTCCGCGACGGAGCCATTATGTGCCAAGAGGACGTCCAACAGCACCTCTTGCTCCAAAGTCGGATGAAGAGAAGAGAGAATGGCCAATTTCACTTCCGTTGGCTCATCATCGTCCGTCAGCTTCTCCTCCTGACTGAGCTTCCGCTTCTTCCTGATGAGAAACGAGTCCATGACGTAGGTATCTTAGTCAAGGATAACACGAAAAATCGACCCTATGGTACGTCATGAAGAGATAGAAATGCCAGTCAGTCCAATATAAACTTTGAAGGGGAATGCCTCGAGTCCAAAACCGAACCGACGAAACTCCATCGGTCCAGATCCATGTTGCTAGCAAATGTCTTTCCGAAGGGCGTAGTGAGGAGGCGCGTGGGGAGCGCGAAAGCACGTGCTAATCCCCCACCCCCAGGACGTCTTTAACATGGCGCCCCCCGATAATCGCATCTTTGACATTGCTGCATCTTTGCCCCGCCATCCGCACCACCCACTGGCGGTTGCCCGCAAACCCGCCTGCCACCCCCAGTCTGCCGAGGTACCCCGGATCGGGCGCGGATGATGTTACCATCGACCGGGCAGAGCTATCCCGCCCGCGTTCATATGCCTTTTTGTTGTGTGTATCCGTATGTGTGGGATAGATCCTTGTGTTTGGTCAGCACCGCCGCCAGTGCCAAATCACCAATCCTTTTCCCGCTCGAGCAAAAGAACCACGGGCCGCATCGCGCATTTGCCCTGCTTCGCTCTGCGACGACTTGCTTCCCCCGCCCGCCATGGCCCCAATGCTCGAATTCCGTACGCAGGGCTACAACCCCTACGCCGTAAAGTACTCGCCCTACTACGACTCGCGCATCGCCGTTGCATCGTCGGCCAACTTTGGCATCGTCGGCAACGGCCGCGTCTTCTGCCTCGGGCTGACGGCGCGGGGCATCGAGGTCGAGACGACGTGAGGAGGCCCTCCCCCGCTACCCCTTTCCTAATCTTCCTGGTCTCACAGCTCACCATCTCCTGCTCAGATTCGACACCAACGATTCGCAATATGACCTCGCCTGGTCCGAGATCAACGAGAACCAGCTCGTCGTCGCCTGCGGCGATGGCTCCATCAAGCTCTTCGACCTCGGCGTAAAGGACTTCCCCGTCATGAACTTTCACGAACACAAGCGCGAGACCTTTTCCGTCAACTGGAGCCCCATTACAAAGGACACCTTCGTCTCGAGCTCGTGGGACGGCACGATCAAAGTAGTAAGTTGCGGACCCCTTTCCCCCCATGCGAGAGAGAGAAAGAGAGACAGCGAGAGAGACAATTCGTGATGCTGACCCAAGGCGCAATCAGTGGTCCCCGACCCGAGACCACTCCCTCCGCACCCTCCCCGTAGGAAACTGCACCTACTCGGCCTCCTTCCAACCATCCAACCCACACATCATCTCCGCCGTCTCCTCCGACTCCCAAATCCGCATCTTTGACCTCCGCACCCCCGTCACCTCCCGCTACCACCTGACCACCATGATCCCCGTCCACGCCGCGGGCCCCTCCTTCCCCTCCGCCGCGCCCGCCGAGATCCTCACCCACGACTGGAACAAGTACCGCGACACAGTCATCGCCACAGGCGGCGTCGACCGCGCCGTCCGGACATTCGACATCCGGAATCCCGCAGCGGGACCGGTGGCTGTCATGCAGGGGCACGAGTACGCCGTCAGGAGGCTCGCGTGGAGCCCGCACGCGAGCGATTTGTTGTTGACGGCGAGTTATGATATGACGGTCAGGCTGTGGGATGACCGTTCCAACGCGCCGCCTACGGGTCCGGCTGGCGGGGCGCAGATCGGGGCGCAGGTCGGGGTGATGAACCGGCATACCGAGTTTGTCGTCGGTGTCGACTGGTGTCTGTTTGGTGTCGGCGGTTGGGTTGCTACCGTCGGCTGGGATGAGAGGGTCCTCCTCTGGGACGCTAATGCGCTATTGGCAGGCCGGTGAAGTAGAGTCACTCAAAACTGACCTTGGCCTGTTTGATTGTGAGGGTTTTCTTGGTTTTTTGGTTTTTTGGATGCCAATACCCTTCTCTCGGAAGAGGCGCGCATCTTGGCTTCATTGTCTGGGCGTTTAGGGGCTCTAGAGGCGGTGCGTCAGGACTTGGTGATAATATTCGAAAGGGACCGGCCCCTTTTGGAAATCGTAAATGGCTGCAAATGGCATCGTCTGGCGTTGCTGGGAGCGGATGGCTTGCAATACATGACTGATCTGATCTACTTAAATTACACGTGAAAGGCAAGTGTCTGCCTTTAGTACCTTACTTTGGTGTAAGTCGGTACCACTGTTCAACTCAAACCTAGCTCTATTGAGAAAAGCATGACGTGTTTCACACGAGGCAACGGCAGATTGGTATTTTCTTTTCGTGAAGATGAGATTTGGAGATTTAATGCCCCCAGTATTATTTACATGGCTATGATTGAGCATCCTTTTTTCCGCCCCCTTTCATCTCGGTGGTGTACAGTCAGATATTGGGCGTAGCCCCGTCCCAGTGTCGGTGGGGATGGTAATACAAACACGACTCCCTCAAGTAAAGCCCCCTTTTCCTGTGCTCCGTACAAAATATGGTATGATACAAGCTTGTTTCCCTCAAAAACGGGAATCAAAAGGCAGTGGTGGTGATGTGGGGGGTATGGCATGTCTAATTCAGTGTCGAGGTCGTCAAAAAAAAAAAAAAAAGGTTTCCGTTTCTCACCGACCTCTTCCGATCCATTGGGCACTTGATTTTTCCTTTTGTCTTCTCTCTTCCTTTGCTCACCTGCTACGCCTCTGGAGCTGGTTTCATATTCCGCTTAGAAGGAGGATCTCTGACGATCTCTTCCACCGAAGCCTCGTCCGCCGTCCCGTCCGCCACGGCTGAATCCACCACCCTGGCGGCGGTCAGAACTAGAGCCGTCAAACTCCATCTTCTCAAAAGCATCGCGGGGCTCGCGGCGGCTAAAGCCACCACGGTTGCCACGGTCACCACTGCGGTCGCCGCCATAGCCGCCACGACCACCGTCCCGGTCACCATCTCTGGAGAATCTGGAGTTTTCTCTAATGTTAAGGCCGCGGATTCTACGCAGACCCCGCTTGTCGGCGGTGGAAGCACTCATGGAGGGCGTAGTGTCGAGCCGCATGGCATCAACGAACCACTCGCGGAGCTCGTCAGCCTTGGCCTGAACATTATCGCGGTTCTGGCCAAACAGCGAGAGGTAAGCGATGTTCAGGACGTCGCTGCTAATCCGAGAAGTGGCCTCGGTCACCTTCTGACACATCTCTGAGGGCTGCTCTTGGCTGGTGAAGTCGAACTGGGCACACTCGATCCCCTTGTTTGGCTTCAAGGGAAGGCCCTGCAGTTCCCGACGGGCAGCGTCCATTTCGCTATCAGCAAGAATAATCCATCCCTCACCCTCCTTGCCTGCACGAGCCGTACGGCCGAGTCTGTGGATGTACTGCTCACGATCCGATGTAGCGCCAATCTGAATAACGTGGGTGACGTTGGGGAAATCAAGACCTCTGGCAGTGACGTCGGTAGAGAACAGAATGCCAGACTTGGCGTTGCGGAACAACTCTGCAGACCTCGTACGCTGGCCTTGAGTGAGCTTGGAGTGGATTCTCCAGCCCTGGACGCGATCGCGATCCGTTCTCATAGTGACATCGATGTCGCCCACAAGATCAACCAAGGCTGACGTAGGCAGGAACACAAGGGCCTTGAAGGGCATCAATTCCGGGTTGTCGAGTCTCTTCTGGATTTCCGTATCGATGAGCTCGTACATAGCAGGGAAGACGTTGGCCCAGCCTCGACAGTGAACAACATGCTGATCAACTCTATCGTGGGTGAGAACATCGTCTTTGGAGATGGTCTGAATGAAGTCAAAGTTGTCGGGGCGGACCCATTCGCGGGCAAGAGCGATGACGTTCTTGGGGATGGTGGCAGAGAAAAGCAGAGTCTGGCGCTGAGAAGTGCGAGGGTCGGGCAGCTGATCGACGATAGACTGTAGCTCCTTCTCGAATCCGACGTCAAGCATACGATCCGCCTCATCAAGGACAATCGCGGCCAGGTTGGGAGCCTCGATTCCGCTCTGAGGGTCCGAGAGAAGGTCGTTGAGACGTCCGGGTGTACCGACGAGCAAGTGGCAACCTTCTCTCCGGGTCTTCTGCAGCATCTCGCCCTTTCGTGTTCCACCAACGGCGCGCTGGACGACCAGGCCCGTCTTCGCGCACAACTTCTCGGCCTCGAGGGCGATTTGCTCAGCGAGCTCACGTGTAGGAGAGACGATTATTCCACGAATATCCCTGGAGCTGGCCTGGTACCGCGCGCGCCTGGTTGCGAGCGACGGGTCCGCCGCAATCATCCTCTGCATAATGGGAACAAGGAATGCCAGGGTCTTTCCGGTACCTGTCTTTGCTTGGGCGACCCTGGTAGGAAGCGTCAGTATGTAAAACGGCAGAATCTGGCAGATAATGATGCGACATGACTTACAGGTCCATGCCCTTGAGTGCGGGCTCGATGGTCTTGCTCTGGACATCTGTCATGTCCTCGTACCTCATGGTTTTTGTGATGGTGTCGACAAGGCTGGAGTGTACGCCCAACTTGCTCAAATCTTCGAATTTTGTCGTCATACCCGAGGCGTTTCCATTCTCCTCAGCGGCCGGCGCAGTCGCAGCGTTCGCGGACTCGCTAGAATAGAGCCTGAATGCATTAATGCTGAGGGGTACGCGAAGCGTGCTTTGCGAAGACTGCCCGATCGACTGGAGGGCGGCAGGTCTCGTTGTTCGGAGTGCCGGGGTGGCAAAGGTTGCGCCGCTGATGCGAACGCACCTCCTCAGAGATTGGCGAAACATTTGTAAAGGATGTGATTAAAAAGACAGTAGTTACTGAAGAAAAAGGTCGATACAATACAGCTCTTGGGTTCTGGAAGGGGAAAAAAGGGAGTGGATGAAGGAGGGTGTGTAGGATGCAAAACTGTCGTACTTTTTTCACCAGTCGAATTGGGAGAAGAGCTGGAAGGTGGACAGGAGACGAGCCGATAAGAATTTTTTCCCGGCCTTATCAGCTCTTCGCTCACTTTTCCCTGGGCTTCGGTTGGTTCTCTGATTTTCGGTGGGTCTTTCCTGCGACTGACAGGGGACGGGATGGAACAGCCACTCAATGGCGCGCCCCGGGAGGCTCCGGCTTGTATCCCTGCGAGGCGAGCTTTTAGCGTCTCTGATGGAAGCAGCCAGACTTTGGCTCTATCAATTCGACCGAACAGTTATTATCTCCTTCTCGATTTGCTCAACCGTGTGCAGGAATCCCGACGATAAATCAGCGCTCGAGTAGTAGCTATACCAACATCCGCTGGGAAGCCTATCAAACCCGACAGTAAATGACGTAGCAAAGTGGATCAAAGTCCCGCCAGCTAGCATATTCAAGTCCTCTCTCTTCCTTCCTCGTGATAAATTTCGTCAGGAGCAACTCCCCGCACACGTGGGCCAAGGATCAGCAACACTCATTGAACTCATTAATATTGAAAGCAAGGTTCTCTATAAGTCCAGTCCTTACGCATCATTATCCTGTCGTGATGCCCCGGCTAGACTCCGATCTCTTTGATCATCGCAGCAAACCTCGTGGTCAATTCAACTCTCTAGTGAGACGTTTATGGCAAAAGGGCTCTCCCAGCTGAGCTCGACCCAGCAAGCTAATGTGAGTAATGGTAAAGCTTTCGCAAAGCCCGTTTCGTCCCACACAATGATCTTACTGACTCTTTCAAAAGCAGAGTTTCCACCTCAAAGGACCTGCATTTGCAGCAAACGTACCTGACCTGACAAAGGAAAACGGAAATATACTCCAAAAGTCTAAACCCAAAAATAATGGAAATTTCCCAAACCATAGTACGTTAAATTTGACCTCGTTATCGTTCGTCTCATTGTCGTTTGGGCGCCACGATGGACAAGCCCTCGCCGACACCGTCGGACAGGCCGCCCGTGAGGCCCTCGACAGTCCAGGCGATGGCCTCCGTAAGAGCATGCCCGAGCCTGCCATCGCCCACGTTGCACAGCGCCCCGGTTATGCGCATTCCCTTACTACCGATCGCGTTGGCGAGGCCCATGCCCGCACCTACGAGGTTCTCCGATATCCGGTACTCCCTCTCAGTGCGGGCCGCTAACCGCAGCAGAAGGATGATGTATGGCAGCGCCAGATGGATCAGGACGAAGATGTTGACAACAGCAATTTGTACGCCCCGGTGAAGAATTGACCTGCCATTGTTCGCGCCCCGTGAGGGTGAATAGGCCCGACCACCGGGACTTGGCGGGGGAATGAAGTTGGAGGGTGTTGACGTGCGGAGTCGGTCAAGCTCGTGTTCGTTTAGGTCGCTGGGGAGGGCTTTGAGAATATACTCGACGCCGTCGAGGAACGCTTTCCTCTCGAAGTCGACCGCCGGCCGCCTTGACGGATGCCTCAACTCATCTTGGGCGACGGCAATCAAAGCAAGTCCTAATGAGCAGAGATTAGTCAGAGGATCCCCTATCAGGAGAATCGATTTCTACCTTGCTGGGCGAAGCGCCAATCCACGTTTGAACATTGGCTCGATGCCTGCTGTTGTTGATAGAACTGTTCCGCTTGTTGCCGCTGCTGCTCGAGCTTCTCGGCTGCAGATCGTACCTCGTACGTCCGCGATGACTGGTGGTGTTCGGTGGCCACCAAGCTCATGTGCTGCTCCTCCGTGCTCTCGGAAATGAGGCGCGCTTGCGTGATGTTCCGGTGCACGCCGTCGTCAAGTCCTGAAAGAGAGCGGCTGTGCGATTGCCTGCTTGAGGTGAGGGTCTGCATGCTTGCACTCTTGCGGATAGACCGCAGCGGCGGCAGCCGGGACTGAAGCGACGTTGGCAGCATCGAGAAGACTGTCGATGACATTCTATTCTGCGGAAGAGTAATCTCTTCGAAAATGGGACCCCAGGGCCGCAAGGGGGGCATTGTGTTTTGATTTATTTCTTCACTGGTTGAAGGAAGGGGGACTACCGTCCGTCGGTCCGTCCGCCTGTGTTGACAATCAATGGTTGTCGGGGAATTCGGTGGGATGGCGTGGCGGTCTGTTCTCGGCCTGCTATTCTGGTAAGTCGCAGGCTTGTGATCGAGAGGGCACTGTCGCCAAAGCAGGAATGCTACGGACCAGGAACGTCGAGATCTAGCCCAAGCGCCTGTAACTTTGCGACGGAGGGAATGTTGCCGAAAAAAAAGTGTTGGTTAAGAAATTGCCCCGCTGTCGTAAATCCCACGTTTAAATGCCCTCGAGGCAACGGTTGTATTCGAGTGTGAGAGGTTGTAATTCTTGAGTCTACCTTGGGTGAAATGCTGAGCAGGAGGTGAGGAAGACACCACGATGAATTGGCCACAAAAAAAAAAAACCAATAACCAACGTTTGGCAGATCCGGGTCGATTTCCAGGTGCAATGGATCGAAGCTCTTTGAGCGAGTTGAAGAATCCAAAGTGAGACAAAGAAGACGACGGGGGGGGGAGAGGCTTTAGAGAAGAGGCAAGGTAAAGTAGAGCAGTACTTGGAACTAAGAACCTGGAAGCGAAAGAAGTCGGGTGGAGGTGGAGATGGGGTGGGAGTGTACCGGTTGGTGGTGTGTGAATGACACTGAAAAGAACCCGTGGACAGGTCCCTTTGGCAGTCGTTCCCACTGGGCCCGCTGGGGCGGATCTGATGGGCGGATGGATCGAATCGGTGGTGGCCGGCTCGCTGATAGGTAGTCTGACACGAAGTGGGAGAGCGTCCCGTCAGATGAGGAAAGTTTACCTCATGTTTGTGAGATAATACCTCTACAAGCACGGAACCTTGGTTGCCAAAGCGAGAGAACGGTCAGGTACCTCGAGATGCTCAAGTCTTTGTTGTGTTCTACTACCTTATGCGAGCCCCGGCGTACTATTGCGTAGCAGACGGGAGTTGCGTAAGATGTTGAGCCACACAAGGGCCCCGCCTCCCAGTTACCTGCCTAAGCCCACGAGCCTTTTTTTTTCTTGCCCTTTTCCTTTTCACATACCTATCTGTCAGCTTGTGTCTATCTGCCCCATGCTATCGCAGAGTCGCTCGCCCTGCTTTCGCCTTTTTTCCCACTGGCAGTGGAGATGTCCTGCGCGGTGAAGAGGAACTAAGCCGTCGAAAAGCATGTGAAAGACAGAAATGTTGGGTCGAAGCGGGGCTTCCCTATCGGTCTCTCCTTCTCTATCTGATCCATCCATGCCCCATGCCCATAGCCACCCGCAAAACACATGGCCCATGGCGCCAATGCAACGAATGCATGAAGAGGGTGCCCTTTCTCTCGAGAGAGAGTCGAGGGTCTCCATGGGCATGCGCGCAAATGGGACGCTAAGCGTTACAGGGGTCCAGTCCAAGGTGCACCTGGCTTTCCACCTTTGTAGACAGAGCAACGCGTGCAGTTGAAGGATTGCAGACCGTCGTCACTTTCCTGCAAGTCACCAAGTCATCATGTCTCCAAGCCCACTGTGTCATGCTGCATCTTCCTGCGGGTCTCTTTGGACATTTTCATGCCGCTGGGGAGAGGGGGAGAGGACTTTGATTCAACGGTTGAACGAGCGTCGCATCGGATCAGCAGAAGATTTGGGAGTGACAAGCAGCAACAATGACATAACCTCGATTCTTGACCACGATCCGGCGGCCCCGAATAAAACTTGGAGAGAAAGAAAGTGGGCGGTAAGTACTAGGCTAGAACTAGTTTCTTGCAGCGAGTGAGATCCAGCCGCCAGAGCACGCCGCCGCATCTTGGTACGAACACCGGGCTGTAGCATCCCGTGCCATGGACTGACCCCTCCTAGGGTACCCCTCGTCCCGCCTCCCACCTCATCCTTCTGGCCTCCCGCGCCGGGAGGAAAGACCAGTCAGAAGCAGTGGAAGATTGCTCTCTTCCTCTCAATTCAAAACAGGACCCCGCCTACACTTTCTAGCCACAAATGGAACTCGTTCACAGAAAAGGCACTTGCTACTGTCTCTTTGCCACTGGCGTTGTTTTCGTCCTTGTCTATCCGCGCAGGCCTCGGGTTGTTCTTCTCATGACATGCGACGCAAGGGGGGGTCTGTCCACCCCAAGAATAGATTCAGGTGCAATTCTCATCAGTCGAACCATACCAGTCGGAGAATTAAAGGACGGAGTAACGATGCCAGAGCCGTCTGGGTAACCCTGGGAGACGATGAGATCTGGCATTCATGGGATCTGATATTCGTCGGTCCCATGCTGGACCACTCGCCGCATCGGGAAAGACGAGGATTTGCCCGCGGCCCAGGCCAGAATTCCCAAAACATGCCGTTTCCTTTGACCAAACACCTGTACGTTGTTGCGGCTGTACAAAGTTGCGCCCATGTCTCATTTTCTCTCTTCTGTCTTTGTGCCACCAAACTCGACAACCCTCAGGAACTCGCGGGACCCCCACGTGTCTGTCAGGAGCCAGGCACGAGGAACGCAGATGAACAGGACTCGTGTGCTTCCCGAGTCATTACCAGCAAATCCGTCTACCCCGTGCCCCCAGCCAGCAGAAACATCAGTTGCGCGCGGATCTTCCTGCTACCTGGACAGGTATGAACATAATCGTTGCTTGTCATGGAGACAAAGTCTTAGTTCAGTCAGAGCAATACAAGTCATCGTTGAGATAAGAAGAATACACGGGTTCACGTGCATGTGCCATTGTTGCATCGGCAGCCCAGCACGTAAGACAAGATCCATCGTCGTTGCTATTGCAGTGAGACAAACCTCCTCAAGGTCCTGTCTTTTCAGTCACACAAACACTCCCGGTTGCCGAGAGAGCCTCATTTGCACGTGCCGTGGCCTGAACACAATGCTATGATTCATTTATATTTCCTTATGCAAAACTCGAGCACCTAAGAACTATTGATGTCTTCTACCTAAACCCACGCCGTCGTCTCTGCATAGCCTCTGTACCCATGTCCCTCCTTCTGGCTAGTGATTCTCACTTCACTGACATGTCACTGAATAAGGGCACCGCTCGCGTCCATGATAACCGTTCTAAACCTTCTCAGCCTTGGGTCGAGCAAGCGCAGAACGCAACGACCGAGTCAAGCCACAGGACACGTCAAGCTCGTGTCATTTCAAAACGAAGAACTAGAACCTCGCGACGATGGCGGCACTTGGGGAACACCGTCCGGGACACACGACGGCGCAACTTTTCCCGCCCGCTACTTGCGACAACTACCGGAGTAGCGGCTTCTTATCTCAACCAGTTCGAACGTACCTTAGCACGTGCTTATCAACTTTGTCGCCTCACCCCATTCATCCGTCGAGGCATCCGGGCCTCCTCGACGCATGTCATGGCAGATCCACATTGCACCATCGGCCCGCTGAGCCACTGTCCGAGGAGAAAGTGGACTTGTGTAGGCTCCGCCAGCGCTCGGAGCATATGAATATGTGCCATTATCCCCATCCACCCTCTCAGACTAAACGGTGAAGCCGTGACTCCCGCAGTTTGTCGTGTATCTGTGTTGTACAGGCTCCCAAATGCACGTAACCTGCCGATCTCCATGCCTTCGACCAGCAAAAAGTACGCTGTTAAAAGCAATCCCCAGTGCGCCCTCCGTTCCCAGGCTATGCCGCCTTCTCCGCGGCGATCTTGGCCTCCATCTTTCGCCGCGCTGCGAGGATCATCTCGTCTCTCCGCTTCTGCAACAGCGACTGCCTCTCGTCCCTGTTCGAGCTCCAACCCTTGGCTGATTTCTCCTTCTCCGTGGCGGCGTCCGCTTCCGCTTGCCGCTGCTGCGCCGAAATCTTGTCCTGGAGTTTGTATCTCGTGATAAGGTCCGGCTGCGTGGGCTTCGCGGGTGCCTTGGCCGGTGTTGAAGAGCTGGCCGCGGCGTTGTTCGCTCCCGGTGGAGGAGGGGGCTGAAAGGTGATTGGAGGCTGTAGATATCACGTCCCAGGTCAGCTACGACTGCGCTACATCAGAGGAAGCATCTCCGACATCGTCGGCATAGTAGCTTCCAAAAGTATGCTATGTTCATTTCGCCGGGACTCGACTTCGGCACGCCGAGTATTCGTCCGAGGTGAAAGTAGGTAAAGCAAGGTTCCAAACTTACAGCTTCCATACGTCCTGCGAGAATCCTCTCAGAGGTCGCCTGGATATTCCCGCCGTTTCTCTGCAGATCCCATAGAATCGTCCGCCTGTCCACCTGCGGGAACATCTGTTGTATCCTCTCGACCGCCGCCTCACGTGTACGTAGCACCGATGCAGCGCTCTGTCGCGGCGCTGGCGGCGGCGCTGGTGAAAAAAACAGGAACCGTATCACAAATGCCGTGACCAGCAATATCATCACCAGGTACGGAAGCGAGATCTGCTCGTTCGCCATTGCTGTAGATCTGGTGTCTGTCGCGTGCCGCACTGGCCGGTGCTCTCCTCGTCGGTTTGCCGTAAGACTGGGTCGGCCGTTTGCGGGCTTTCGCTATTGGAGGTGGTGACTGGGGGCTCAGGCTGCTGCACGCCTCATGGAGACTGCGATGGTGATATGGAGAGACGGAGGAGCGTATCGCCGCTGCGCATGGGATAGGAACGTGGTCAGATTAGATGCGTGGAGACCGGCTGGCAGCTTTTATGGAGTTGATGAGTTCATCAGCCTTCCTCATGGAGCAGGGGTTTGGAGCTTATGTGGCGCGAGATCGGAGTTTCCCGCGCTTTTCCGTGTAAGTATGACGCGCACGGACTGTCTCGACAACAACCATCACAGCACCTCACCTACCAAGGTATAACACAGCAGGAGTCGATTCTCGCCGTATCAGGCGCTTCCCATACCAGACGGGCGGCATCGCGTAAATATTCCAGAACTGGCAAAGGAGTCATTTTTTTCGTTTGTTTGCAGCATCGGCATCGTCATTTTATTTCCCTTCGTTTAACGGCCGTGGGTAACTCCCATTGATCAGTGATTCATACAACAAAGCAGCGGCAGATATGCAGCGTCTGCCATTTGCCTGGCCAGCTTCACACCGGAAGCCTGCAAAACCATGCCTTATCAACATGACTTAACGCCTGTCGGGTCTCATGCCCAGTGCCCAGGTACCAAGTCGTTTCCAGCCTCGTCAATAGAACGAGAAAGCCAATGAACCATACACCCCAATTCACCTATGCAGCCGGTTGTACCAGATTCGTCTCCAGATCACCGTAGTGGAGAGTGAGTTCTCTCTGTGTAGAGTTAGTGATTTGAGCTCAACGACTTCTAGAAAGAAGTTCAAGACATACCCGCTCCTTGCGCCAGTTGGTGGTGTCCCAGACAATGTAGTAACCACGCTCATGGTGAGGACCAAGACTAGCGGGCATCATGAGCTCATCCTTGGTAAGCCATAAATGCAGCTTCTTGTGCCAACGCCAGTTTCGGCTGTGCCTGGGAGGTTGTTAGTCGCCATCACTGAAGACGTGAGAGATACATACAACTCGACCGCAGCTAATTGCTGCTTGATATCCTGCGTACAACTGTAGAAGATCCAGAATAGTGTCTCTTCGTTGAACGACGGAATCTTCGTGTCGATGGGCTGCACATTGGTCACCTTATAACACTCTGGGAGCCGAACGTTGGGAATCGCAGGACGTGGCGGAGTGTCGTCGAAGAGAGAGTAGATCTGCGTAGAGATGAGACTGCCACAGTCAGTAAAACCTTCATATCTGAAAAGTCAGGCAGCTTACTCTGGCGAGTTGACGTTCAGACCGAACTCGTTGGGGTCCATTCCCTGCATCAGCGCGCCGTAGCTTGGGTAGTTGTTCATGAGAACACGCAGACCCTTCATACCGAACTTGTCGATGGGCGCCATTCCTGCCAGAGGGTCCTGCACCTCGGGTGCTTGGCCATCCTTCTCCTCCTTGGCCTTGCCAGCGACTACGTCGTTACCAATGGCTCCAGCGGGGTTTCTGGCCTCTGCAGACTGGGATGCGCTGTCACCACCGGTCTCCTCAGAGAAAGAGCTGCCTCTCTCGACAGACGTTTCTTGTATTCTCGATTGATCTGTATCACATAAGTGAGCGCGTTACTGTCAGGCGCGGTGGATTCGACATACCTTGTACGCTGGCGATAGACGATGAGCGGCCATCTGAGGTTCTGCTGTTCGCAGAAAGCGCATTGAGTAGACCATTGCCGGCACCTGCGCTTCGGGTAGGAGGTATCGAGGCGGATGAGCCACTCGCCTGGTTGCCGCCGAAACCCAAAGAGGGCATGAGATTGCCACTTCGCTCACCACCGATCTCACCGTTCGAGTTTCTGTTCAAGGGCGGAAAATCATCCACCGGATTAGACTGCGCTTGAGGCGCCGGACCTGCGCTGCTCTGGCCACCGAAACGGAAGGCGCCTTGACGAGCCGAGGTTGGCGTAAAGAGCTCATCCTGTCCACTCTGTGCCGAAAGTGGCGTCGACTGCTGGTTGCGCGGCACCGGACCAGCACCCAGGTTCCGCGAAGCTGTTGATGACCACATGTTTGTTTGGCCGGTGGTGTTCATCTGGGCGTTGTTGGAGAGGGATGGAAATTCGCTACTTCAGAAGTCAGTACCACCATCGTTGCCAGAATCCATGAGCGCAGAAGCGTCCGCAGTCGCGCCAGAGGCAATGATGAGGGAGAGGAGCAAGGGAGGAAATAAAAATACGTCTTGAGAACTTCCGCATAGCCCTTTTTGGGCTGCTCGCCAGGCAAAGATGAGGCTCCATCCATCTTCTCTTGTCTTGCTGCTCTCTTTCGAACGAGGCGCTGCTTTCTGCCCATGATGAAAGGAAGAGAAGAGACAAGGCCAAGAAGGCGGAGCTTAGAAAAGAAAAGCAGAAGTGACCAAGTGCGGCTGATTGTGAAGCTTGAAAAGCGGCTGGTGCTGCTGATTTGGGAGGTGATCGTGGGGAAAGTGGTAGGAACATGTGCAGGGTAGCCGGTGAAGGAGGAAGGAGGAAGGAGGAAGGAACATACGAGAGGTCCAACGGTGTTGCCGGTTGCGACCCGCTTAAGCTCTGTGCAAAGCTCACATTTCCTCCAAGTTGACGGGCTTGATTTTGCAGACCAGCGCCTCCCATGGGCACTCCTCCTCCAAATGCCCAGCCAGACCCATTACTGCCTGTGTATTCCAAGAAACTCCACGTTAACATCAGATCTTCATACTTGCAAACCCCCGCGCACACGACCACACACACACACACAGGGAGAGAGAGAGACAGAGTTGAGTGTCCCTACCTATTTTGCCATTTGGTAACCTGTTTGACACTGCCCTCCCAGCTTGCTGTTGTTGTTGTTGTTGCTGCTGCTGCTGCTGGCCACCAAAACCTGCTGGTATGCCACGCAGTGATTGAGGAGCTACTCCTACTGGTTCCGCCCATCGTCAGCTTGGAGGTCTTAAAGAGTGTCGCCTGAGAGTAACGAGGCCCGAAGCCAAGGTATCTAAGCAGCATATGTAAAATGGAACCCTTATTGTCTATCCAAAGGCCATGTTTAACGTTGGGCTGGGTCGGCGCCAGTTCTCGAGAATGAGGGCTACACGTCGGCGCTGGCAGTGGCGATGGTCTACTGAGAGCATCCTCGGCGGCGTGACGTTTCGCGCGCATGAACTCGATGCCCCTCAAGTTTACTCGACGATATAGAGGCGCGGCGACCACAATTGAGAGGTGCGACGAGATCGAAGTGGCCTTGATGAACATGCAAACGGCGGGGTACCTCGAGGCTGAAAGGGGACGACTAGAGGGTCAGGCCTACCTGGTCGATTCATGATGAAGGCTCGGGGAGTAGAAAGTCGCAATCGAGAGTCGCGTCGTATGGTTCGTCGTAGCGCGGGGGTTCGGGGTTCAATTAGGATGGGCGAGGGTCGAGATGGCTCGAAAGATTATTCTGATTCGAAGCTTGCGCACGATGGAAGCTCTATGCGGTTTCCATGTGTACAGTATAGAGAGGTCGAAGCCCAGCCAACACTAACGCGCGGAGGACCGGTCAAAGATGGATCCGATGGCCTGTGCGTCCAGAGCCCCTCCAAAAAACCCCTGCATCAGTGCAAACACGCGCTACTGCCGTACATGTACCTGGGGCCTTTTTTTGACATCACGTCCTTTTCGACACTTGGGATGGCAGCTTCCAGCATGCATTGATCTGATGCACCCTGCAACCATGGCGCTCTTTCTCCCGTCTACGTCCTTAAGTGGCATTCATATGGCCCAAGGTAACCAATCCCACGACCTCATGACAGACCAGTGAGCGGCAGCCTCAAGTTTTCTGCTGCTGCAATGGATGCGGCCTCGACGACTTTCGTTAGTCTCTAGAAAGCCAACGATGCTATGTTTTCAAAAGATGTTTCCTGTACGCCTTGCGGACGATGTCTCAATGATCATGCATCCAAAACAACGCGCTGTGTCTCAGAAGTCCTTCTCATTCATACGATTCATGGGGTCGAGTTGAGTGTATCTACCAAACTCTTCTCAAAGTCGACACCCTCGAGGTACCTTCCAATAAGAATTATCTTGCCTCGCTCAGCTTGCGCGGCTTCGCGCGATTGGTCGGGCGAGTCGAGAATCTCGAATATTTCCCTCACACCCTGGATGAGTTTGACGTCGCCGTTGTCAAAGATGAGCCGTCCCTTTGACCGATGAACGTCGACCGTCGTCTTCTCGTCTCCAGGAAGCTTGCGGTCCCAAAGCATCTTTCTCAGCCACCAATCGATGTTTTTCAATTGAGAAGGTGCCAGCTTTGGCACTGGTATCGAGACGGTTGAAATGGTCTATGCTTGTTCAGCGAAAAGACATGCTTCAGCGTTTCCGGGGTTCACTCACCGAATCTAGATGGCTGTGGCCCTTTTGGCTGGTATCAAGTTCCGTGACTTGGTCATAGGCATGCAAATCCAGCAGGAAGCCCTCCAGCTTCGGTACCTCGCTCTGCTTGGTGACGTGGATCTTGGCGAGTCCATTGATAGACTCTATCCTCGACCTTACCTGCCCCAGCTCTTCCTCAGAAACCAGATCTGACTTGTTAATGACAATGACGTCGGCGTGTGAGATCTGGACGTGTGCCGTCGTCATGAGCGGGCCGTGACTGTGGCCGTCATCCTCTTTGTGCTCCCCGTCAATCTCGATCTTGCCAGCGGGATCATCGAGGCTGCGAAGAATATTCTTCGCATCTACAAGAGTCACAATACCATCCAAATAGATTGTGCTTCCCAGACCATCGTCGACCCAGAACAGGGGCGTAAGATTGCCGGGGTCCGCGAGCCCTGTGGTCTCTAGCAAGATGTAATCAAATGCGCCCTTCTTCTCCATGAGTGACTCGATTGCGTTGACACCGGTGTCCCTGGGCGTGTTAAAACGGATACGATCAGTTTGGGGGGAGGGGGGTTCCTACTTCACAGAGCAGCATATGCAGCCGTTGCCGACTTCGAGCCACTCCTCAACTTGCTCATCGCCTTTGTTAACAGTGAGTGACTTTTCAATGTCGAGCGCTTAAACGTGTTAGTAGTCGCGGTTGCATGGCTTATGTCGGACTTTACATACAATCACCAAACTCTGAAGAATGTCAGTATAACGCTCCAGCTGCGCATTTCATCATGCGATTGACATACCATTCATAATCACAGCAATCTTCTTTCCATGCTGTGCCGTCAAGATATAGTTGAGCAATGTCGTCTTTCCAGCTCCGAGATAACCGGTAACAATTGTGATCGGGACCTTGATTTGGCTCTCCGATGGTGGCAGGTCATCATCCGCAGGATCAGTTCCGGCCTCTACCAGATCAGGCGGGGCATCGTCGTCGAAATCCATGCTAGGATGGAGGGGAAACCTGCGAGAGAGCTCAGACCAATTCTTTTCAAATGCAAATGTCGTATGGAAAGAAGCAGTAAGCGGCTTCCAGAGGAAAGAGTTTGTAAAATCTTGAGATGAAGGTGCAGAGTCAAGAGGTTTCTTTGAGAAGAAATACGCCCTTCAATTGACTTGTCAAGCGAGGAAAGCCCCAGGTGAGAATGAAGTATTCATGGCCAGGGTACGTATCTATTTGACGTCGTCTGGTCCACATACCGGCACTCACAAAAAAAAAGGCACGACGACGGCCGGGGACGATTTCCTGACTAAGCCAAGCTGGGGTGCCGGGGTTGGCAGAACCAGAAGCTCTGGCCCCCAAAGCGCTTCGATGTGGGTGACCTGGAGCTCTTGATTAGCCGCCGACCACGACTTTTCGTCCGCCGCCTCGACATTCCAACCATCAACAAAGACAACTCCGACACCTGTGACCGCGACTTTTCGAGGAGAAAGGGGGAAACACAACAGCTCTTGACCCGCGGTCTCATAATCTCCCCAGCCGCTCGTTCCTCCTCTTCTGCATCATACTCTCCCGAGGAACCCCCCGCACCACAGCCACTCGATCGGCTCCTTTCACTATGGCTATGGCGCCGAGCTCGCCCCGGCTGCCCAGTCCGCCGCCGCCAGCTGAGATCCAATTAGGTCCCAGGTCTCCTTCGATGGGCGCGCAATCGAATCGCGAGGCCTCGCCGATGGAGCAGTCTCTCATCGAAGCCAACTCGAGGCGTCGCATACACTCGGGCACCAAGGCTGCCGACATGGCTGCTGGACCGCCGCTAATCCCCCTGAACGAGGTTCGTAGCACGCGGTGAATAGTACCTTAGTATTGGCTTCTGCCGCTTACACGATGTTTGCTCTTCTTGTAGCTCGACTCGGCCTTCCAGCTCCAGGAGCATCTCGCCGCCCTCCACTACCACCATACCAAGAGCAACAGCATCCCGATAACCCGCACGACCGCAATCCAGCTCGCGACGCCTCCGCCGGGCATCGACCGCACCCTCTGGCTCTACGAACTGTGCCGGTTCCTGATCTCGCAGTGCAACACCCTCATCGTCGGCTTCCTCTTTGATTCCCCCCCTTGCAGCGCCGCGACGTGTCCCGAGATGCGTGCCTCTGAGTGGCAGTTTCTCTGCGCCGTCCACGAACAGCCCAAGAGCTGCTGCGCTATCGACTACTGCTGCCACACCCTCGACTGGGCCGCCAACATCGTCACGGACCCAAAAATCTTCCCCTCGCGCTTCGTCGTCCTCTCCGACGTCCACAACAAGGGCGTCGCCGTCAAGAACCTAGTTAACGTCTTCCGCCGCCTGCACCGCATCTTCGCGCACGCCTGGTTCCAGCACCGCGCCGTCTTCTGGACCATCGAGGGCCAGACCGGGCTGTACGTCTTCTTCAAGACCGTCTGCGACATGTACGACCTCCTCCCCGCCGAGAACTACAAGCTCCCACCCGAGGCCGAGGGACTGGAGACGGCGACGGCGGTGCCTGACGCCAACGGCGGCGATAAGAAGCAGCTTCCCATGTCCATTGTGAAGCCTACCCACCGCGAGAGCCTCGCTCAAGGCGAGGACGACAACTTCCAGCCTGTTGGCCGTACTGCTACGAGACGGCACGTCAGGGCAAGCCCGTCTGTTGGAAGTGCTGTAACGACGGTGGTGGAGGCTGACGAAGAAGACAATGTCGTAACGAATAAATTGCGGGAGATGAGAATCTCTGCCCCTGAGACCCTTGAGGAGGAGCCCGAAGTGGCGGACGTACCGGTGATTGTCGAAAAGGAAATCACGGAGGATGCATCTCCCACGGAAGAAAAGGAGCCCGCGGCGGCTGAGCCTCAAGTAGTTGAAGCCGACCACCCTGACACAGAATCCGACGCGGATACCACGATAGTTCTGAACGACGATGAGCCCAGCATCGCCTCCATAGAAGATGAGGCGGATGAGACCCTGGTGTCATTCGAGTCTGAGGATAAACCCACTTCGGGGAGGGAAGGAGCAGAGGGGGCCGACAAGACTGACGACGCAGAAGACAAGACAGCAGGCGACATCCCAGCTTCGGCTGAAGCAGAGCTTGACGAGAACGCAGACGTCAGCACTCATGATTTTGCTCAGGAATCATCCGCCAAAGCAGTTCAGGCTACAACAGACGCTGCAGACACCGACAGCAAGGCCCAAGAACCCGATAAAGAGGAAGGGGAGCCCAAACATGTTGCAAAGGAGGAAGAGGATAACAAGGATACATGACAGAGGGTGAGGGGGTTTTGATGACTTTGCTTATTGATGAAAAGTTCAAGTTACAGACTTGTTGCCTATCCGTCAAACATGGGGGCTGGGATTTGGTTTCGGCGGGACAACCAACTGCTTTTGCTTGTCAAATTATTACCTCGAGACTTTTTTTTTCCCCTCTCGGGGGCCCGTCTTATTTTCCCCCTTATTATTGTAATGAGATGAGGTCCACGTATGTATAGTATTCTTCTTTTTCATCTTGTGATGTTTTGAAAACGCATCACAAAGAGTGTATGAATATGAGGCAAAGAGTTTATAAAGTTGTTTGTCTAACAAGGTAGATGGATGAATCGAAGCAAAATGTGTGAAATGTAGATCAGTAGATAACAATGTCCAAGAAAATAACAAGTATAATACATTTATCCCCTGCAAGTATGCTAGGGGATTTGCATGCAGCTCAGAATGGAAATGGAAGAATGGAGGGAAAAGAAACAGAAAGACCCAACGCCAAAATGCGCATGGCCTGCCTGGTTTGGTGTGGCATGGCCTCTAGGGGGGTTGGTTTACGGATGTAGCCTCTGAAAGAGCTGGAAGAGGAAGAAAGATGCCGCCGATGGGTAAGTTTAAAAAAAAATAAATAATGATATATGGAAATGCTTGCGTCCCACGCGGCTTGTTTTGATCGTCCATGATCGGGCTTTTCGTTTCCTTTTTGTACCAGCCAATGTCGCTGTCAACGAGCTTCCAACCCTCGCCTTGTCGCAATGCAAAGCGCATGCTGTCCCTACAGCTAGCTAGGCTTATTGGGCTATTGTGAGCCGTGTGCCAACGCGTTCGACACTTCTATCTCCTTTTACTTTTACGAGAACGTGGCGCCAACTCCTCGACCCCGTCCCCTGCCCTCTTTCCCCAGGAGTAGTCGACTAAAACCTAGGCAGACTGAGCTTTCTCCTCCGCCATTTGCATCTTTGCAAAAATGTGTCGGACTTCTCGTAGATTCTCCGCCTGTGCGGATACGGCGTTGGCGTTGCGTTCATCGGCGAAAGTCCGTACGTCTTGCACGATGCGACTGTAGCCCTCATCGTTGGGCAGCCACCAGCGCACGCAGCTGGGCTCGTGAAACATTTCAGCCATTTTGGCGCGGAGTGATATTGGTTGCATGTATCTGTAGGTTTCATCAAACGTCAGTTTTTCCATGGTACGAAAATGGGAAGCAGAGCCGCCAGCCCAGTAAGTATGTCACGTACCCCATCGTCTCTAACAGAGCAAACTTTTTCCGGATCCAGTTGTGATGTTTGGCATCCTGCGGCAAAAACAGCGCCGAGAGGGCAATCCCGGCCTGGATGACGATCAGACTTCCCCTCGGGCTCGACGGCCACCTCTCGACAGCCTCAAAGAGTTGGCAGATGGCGTACGCATGGCCTCTGAGCTCGCCGTACAGATGTTCCCGCTGCGTCGTTGACGACTGACACTTGTGCATCATCATGGTAGAGTTGAACTCGCTAGTGAGCAGCGTCGTGGAGAAGATTGGAAAATCGTACACGACTCCCGTAGTGAACGCGTCAACAATGTCGTCCTCGCCCAAGGGGCTCGCGTGGCTGAAGTCCGTAACGAGGTAAGCAGGGTCAGTAAGTGCGTGGTCCCAACCGTCTTTCCATCCCTGGAGCGAATTTTGCAATCTTTCGTGTTCCGTCGCGAAATCTTCCGGTGTTATCTGGCCCCTGCTGCCTCGGGCAAATAGTGTCGACATTTCTCTCGAAATGACCTTGAGACGGCCTGATTCCGCTTCGATTTTCCAATGCAGACTGTCTTCTTCTTCCAAAACGGCATGCTGATCGCAGTACTCGACGAACGTCGTAAACCACTCCGGGGCTAACATCGTGGGAAAGCCGCCCATGATGGCAATGAAGATGTCGAAGCGTCCATACCAAGACACAATCGTTCTACCGAGAGGGCTCTGCGTGGCCGTCTCGGGTGTAAATAGGTGCGTCAGCATCTCGAAAGCAGCTTTTTGATGCCCCATTAGGTTGATCCAGTCGCCCAGGTACTCCTATATTCCCAGTCAGCCACGCTGTTGTTACCTTAAGACATCGGGGAACTGCCGCACCTCGATTGTGGCAAGTTGAAGAACGGTCAACAGCATAGCAACGTTGTGCTTCTCCTTCCTCTTCAGTGAGTTGAGCAACAAAATGACGCTCTTGTTGTAGTACTTCAGGAACTCCTCCATCTTGCCATTGGGGTCTTGTAATGTGCGATGGTACGCTGCGAAGCCAACAACTGCGTACAGCAGAGCCTCGTTTTGCAACGCAAAATTCGGAAGAATAATGCGAAAGAACTCGTGTGCGTCACTGACCATGCAGTAGTGGTAGTGAGTAACGTTGGCGCAAAAGTATTCCAAATGCTGCCGGAGGTCGGGAGGCAAATGCGACCAGTCGGCGTGACCATCTAGGGACAAGATTGCAAGATCCGGCATCGTATATGCAGTCGTTGTTTGGCTACTCGCCGTAGATGTTGAAGGTGAGGCACTCTTCGTTCCCTCGTGTGACGGTGTCTCGGAGCCGTGCCGCGTACCTCCCGTGCGCTGCAAATTGAATGAAGAAGATGTGCTACTTCTACTCGGCCCAGAGAATTGCTTCTGATAAGACTCTTCCTCTCCTTCGTCCTCATCCAGAATGGTGTCAAGACCGGCGGGCTCTATGTCGTCCTCCCCGTCTTCAGCATCATTGGATGAGTCCGGACTGGCTTGCTGCTGGGTAGACGCTCCATCTTTGGACGCAGAACTCTGAACTGGAGACCCCTTGGTTGCTGGTGGTTCTGGATAGATACATTCTCGGCTACCTTTTCGACACCCTGTACAATGTTAACGATGCGGCGTCACCAGTACCTGTTGGGTCAAACATACTGTCGCAAACTGGCCGAGATTCATCGCACTATATTGAGAGTTAGAAGAGCATAATCTTGCAGATGACAAGGGACCCCACCTTCACTCTCCTACTCCTACACATATAGCAGCCAGACCGTGTTCGTCGATGCTTGACGTGATCTAAGCCCGAGGCCGACTTTCTTCGGTTCCTCGAGGATTTGGGGGCAGTAAGCCCAACGGGGTCAGGGAAACCTGTGAAGTATCCAAGGTTGGGATACGGTCCAGGCATGGCACCGCCCATCATCGGCATCTGGGCACCTGGAAACTGGGGAGGATGTATGTCCTGCAGGCTTGTGCTTTGGCTAGCTGCCACCCCCGTCATGGAGGTGAGAAAATGATGATAGTAATCCCCCATGTTTGCGGCTAGGAGGGACTGACACCGTGATTTTTAGGTGAGAGGCAAGGGAATGAGGAGGTAAGGTATTGTGGATCGTGTGCTTCAGTGTCCTGGGGCAGCTGGCATGCTCTGCCAGTACTCACAGGAACAGTAACGCCGTATCCCTTGGAGTTCGGGGGTCGCTAATCGCGACGGCAGTGCGAGCTTAGGTGGGGCACAGCTACGCAAGGCGGTATACGTCTGAGCAAGCCAAAGGGCGCAGTGAGCCAAGTTGTCGTTAGGGGTTGAGAACCTCGAGTTGGAAAGCCGGAGAGTTGTGGGAGGAGGAGCCGCCCGGGTAAAGGGGTGCGGTGGCCCGGCTAGGTAGATCAAATGAGGAGCTTGAAATGGCGAGCTGGTGAAGTCTGATCTGGGGCATGGGTGCTTTTCCTTCAAAAATGTAGCTTGAATCCGTGGCAACCTACGTATTTCATGAAATTGACCCGAGGGGTAGCAATTGCGGACCCGGCATATGTCGAGAGGGGTCTGTGGTTGGAGTTGTGAGTGGACTTGAGAGGGAGATTGGCCGCTCCTTGTTTTTGGGGAAGCAAAAGAGCGAACTGTGCCACTCGGAAGAGGGCCTCGGTCACCCAGAGCCACAACAGTTCTTTCGATAGCTTGAACGGCGGGTGGTGATGGCAGTAGTGGGGCACTTGGACGGCCACAATGTAACTGGGTTGACTGGAGAGCGGGTATCGCAGCCCGCGCTTTTGTGATCTGCTGGCGGGACTGGCGTAATGGCGGGGGCTACTGGAAGCTACCACGCTAGGAAGGGAAGTCAAGACCCAAACGGATATGGCGAGGTGGTGTTGTGTGGCCTATATGCCCGAATCGATCCCGGCAGAGCTCGAGAGCACTTGGAAGCTGGTGAGAAGCAGAGGCCGATTATGGTTGACCTAAGCCTAGTTGTAAATCAGGGGCCTGGCGAAGCACCAGCTGGCATGGAAATTGGTCCTGAATATTGACGAGTATGGAGAACACGTCGTATTGTGAGATGAGATACACAGCAACGGCTTGGTGAGTATCGATATGCCGTGGTCCACTCACTCGGGTCCGACAAGGGATCAAGATCGAGGAACGGGTTTGTCGAAGAGATTCAAACAGATGAGTACGTCAGATCTGAAGACTCAGAGCCAGCGGCAAGTTCAAAAGTGAGACGAAACTGCCCAAATATGTGGGTATCCTAGCTGCGTTACAACCAGAAATGGTCTGGAATGTATGATCCAAAGTCAAAAACCCCGCCGGTGCGTGATGGTGTACTGATGGGTGGCGCCAAGTAGGGAGCGAGAGTCGACCGGATTGGCAGCTGTGATGTAGCCTAGAGTATGTGACTTGCCGAAAGTGTGAAGTGTCTAGATGGTTGGACAGTCTACAACAGTGATAGTATCCTCAGGAATGGACTGGGATAGAGAACGGTTGTCCTGAAAAGGGATGAAAGAAGCTGGCGCGGGGTGAAGGGGTGTTTTTTTTTGGCGCAGCCACTCTTGCGAGCTCTCTGTCTTGCTCGTGGTTCCCTAGCCTCGGGAGATGCGGTTTTGGAAAGACGGCCCCAGATTGATTAAGGTTCCGGGATGGCGCGTGAGTGCTGGGGCGGCTGAGGCGTGGCAGACGCTGGCGAGAGGCCGATCCAAGGCGTGATATGTAGTCCCGTCACCACCCGTGCCTACTGATGAACGTGGCAACGGCTGGTCGTCCTAAGCCCAAACGGCGTGAATATCCGGGCTGTGCTCGATTTGGTCTGGCCGTCTGACCCAAAGTCTTAGTATAGGGAGAAGAGTAAAGATCGTCCGACCTAGCAGTACCGGTAGACAGGTTCGACTCACCCCTCGCCCTGAAGAGATGGGTTTCCTCCTCACTTGCGTACAAAGTACTTGCGCACAAAGTACAAAGGAGTCTGGATCAGGAACTGGATGTGAGAACCCGACGGAAGGAGAGGCACAGATAAGCCCTGGCAGAAAATGAGACAAGGATCTTCTGTCTACAGAGTAATGTAACGAACCAAAGCAAGCACCCAAGTCGGTGGTGGGGGCAAACCTGAATGAGCTTGCTGGGGTTGGCGGAAAAGCGACACTGGAAGCCCTGTCAACATCTGGTGGTTGAAGTTTGATCAACACCAGGCTAGCTGAAAATGATGTGGAGGTTCCTGTTGTTGATCTGACGCCCTGATCTCGGATCCCACGAGAGAAGAGCCGTGACAGCTGGGCATAGTCGCTCTGGAATTGACATGGATGAGTGAACGGCGGCGTCCTCACTAGTTGCTTAGTACGACCCAAGTTGCGCATATATCGCCGCCAGGCCCATCCTTTGAAACCCGCGTTCCCCAAGCCTGTCGGCGCGAATCTAACATGTAGCGCAAATGCGTTGGGCGGCGCCAGCGGTTGTTTGGCAGTTTGAGAAAACCGTGGGCGCGTTCTTCTGTGCCACTCTAGCGCGGAACTTGTCCAAGCCCTGGCGTCCTGTCACAGCTTTAGGCCTATAAGCTGGTGTTAAAAGGTCACTCTTGGGCAATGTGGGCCTGGTCCTGTCTAAGGCGGCGGAGGTTGATGAAGGGAAGCTGATGAGGGGAAGCTCCCGTGGAACTGTCGAGAGCTGTATGTACCGAGTGTATCATACGGGATGATCATGATCGAACAGTATGAGCAATTACCGCAGCAAGGAAAAAGAAGTTGTGCTCGCCGTCGTCCGAGCGGTTGCTGGCAGTTGTACAGAGATTCCGTGACAAAGCCAGTTTGCAGCGGGATAGGCGGCCTGAGGCACGATGGGATGCAAGAAGAAGGGGACTGTCCAGGCCCTCGTGGATGCTTTGCGTGTTCCCAGGCTGTCGGGGCGTGGAGCCATGGCCTTGGTGGAGGGAGCAGGAGGAGCAGGACGAAGAGACCAGCACCCCTCAACCACCCTAGGCACATCCACAACTCCACAGTCCACACCCACTTCCAGGTCTTGGGGCCCAGATTTTGGTGTCATTGATGGTGAAGGGGGTGTCGTTGGAGCGGGAGCACAGACATGGGGTCGGGAGGTGTGGCCGGGGTGGTGTGGCGGAGGGCTTACCATCTTCTATCCCAGTATGCTCGCAAACCCCAGCCGGCCCGTCTATTCCTATGAACACCAGATCCCTTAGTTGGAAGGGCAGTAGCCGATGGTACAAGCATCAGACTTGCAGCACCCGCGGAAG